TGCTGAGGGTGGAACTCTCCCTTCAGTCCAGCTACAAGTCAGGACTGTGCCTGTGCTTAATGAACTTGGGAGATTAATGAGCAAGGTTGATGGGAACTTACTTGAGGAAAGCCCCCTCAGTATCTCAGAGGACATCTCTTTGTCCCAGCTAACACTACAGTCCTGTTTTAATACAAGTAGGTTGGTCACGTTTACGTTGCAGAAAACACCTGCATTACTCATCCGTGCGGGGCAAGATGGCAATTTTATTTTAGTATTTTATGGTAAGGGAGAACATTCAGAGTTGATGTGTAAGCTTTGATGTCCTTGATGGTAGTAACACCAGCCATAAAAGAAGACGGGGGCAAGAAAATAAGATGAGGTATTTCACCAGATGAAGAATTCCGTACTTCTGAGACTCCTGTAGCCTCCGAGTCCCCTTCGTGTTTTCCATACCCAACCACCTGGAAAAAAAGTTATCAAAAAAAAGAAGTTTGGCTCGAAGATTATAAAATTTGGATCTCATTCAACGTTCATTTGCCCTGACAATTAAATACAGACACTTAAATGCAATTGAAATTACAAGAATAACGAAAAATGTAGACACTATTAACAGTAATATGGATGTAAAATTACAGTTCTTCTGCCACCCCCTTTCTGGCCTCTCTGAGATGAGAAGAGGTTGGCATTTCAGATGCTGGCAACATGGAGCTGACAAATACTCACGTGGACACTGAGCACTTTCTTCGTGTTGCTTCTGTGAGCTTGGAACCAGGTGACCAGGGCTGATTTTGTGACAGACTTCAGAGCTTCAATCTGAAACCCACAGGAATGAGGCTGAAGCAGCACAGTGGTGATCCAAGTAATTTTAAACATTAAAAAAAAAAAGTTTCCTCTAGAAACTATATGCCATTAGATAAAAGAACCTTTTAAAAGCAGCACGTTTTAAAAGGTGACAGCTGTCCCCAGGAGTATTAATCCCCCTGTCTATTCTTTGCATTTAAAACTGTTGCAGAAAGGGGTGTCTGAGTGTTCCATGTGGCATCTGAACAAGGAGGGACCACCCACCTCACGGGCCAGCCTGTCAAACAGATACTGCTGTGTCACAACTTCATTCCAGTTCCTGTCTACTTCTTCTCCAAGATGGGAGTCTTCGCATTCTTTAAGTTTTATCAAAGCTGTAACCTACATTTGAAAAAAGACAGAACAATTATTTTCACAGCATTGAAAACTACCTTAATTTGCTATCATCTTCACTGAAGCTGAAGGAAAACCCAAATTACATTAAGGTAGCTCATTGCTCTTAAACTTCACTGTGAACAGCCAGAGAGCAAATCTTTGAAGAATGCAGAAGGGAACAAGAGGCAGGATTGAAAAGTGAGTCCTTTCAGGTCTTCTGGACAGAAATACACACCAGATAGATGTAACCAGATCCTCCAGATTAGGTGTCATTCAGCAGTTCAAGGAAGAGCTTTTCAAGATCAAGTTTTACCTGGGTGCTAAAAGCATCTTCAGTTAAATGCTTGACTTTCTCTTCAAAGCAAGAAAGAAACTCTTCTATTTTCATGTCGACCAGTTCAGAACTAAAAGAAAGTTAAAAAAATTAAATCAGGCAGGAAAAAACAAAAGAAAAAACAGTAGTAGGAGAACAGCCCCCAAAATGATGAAGGAAGGTTTGGGCCATCTGGGAGCACCATCTTTTCTATCTGTCTTCCCTAGCATCAATGAATAAAACCAGTGCTTTGATTTTTCAGCCATATTAAGTGCTCAAACACATAGAACTGAGATAACTGAGCACCAAGAGCTAGAGCTTGCAGGAACCCCTGACTGCAGTCCTGAGCCCTGCACAAACTGATGTGGCTTAAGACAAAAAAGAAAGGAAAATAACATGAAACATGGAAAACTTTCACAGATGACATTGACCTCAGTAATGGAAGCATCATCCAAACATGAAAATTACAGACAGCAGTACTCTGCTAATTAAACTTTTACCAGCACAGGATTATTTTGCATAATTTGCATATATTTTCATACAGTCTTCAACTTTGGCAGGTCAAACACCTGCAGTTAGCCCCTGCTTTGATCAAAACCACAATATTGTTCTGTCTGCAGAAACTGAACTGGAACAGCAACTACACAGGATTTACTTGGCAATGTCACTCTCCTGGCAGGAGAGCTTCAAAAGGGCACTGGGATGCTTCAGTCTTTGGGTTGCTGTTCCCTGTGCCAGCCAGGACTGCAGCAGTTTAAAGCAGCCTAAGGCTGTTGGCTGTTTTGCAGTCACTGTCACAACTGCCAGCAGTATCACAAGCTGAGGCCAAGGACTACTCTTGACATTCCCTTGGGGCTCTTCCCTCTCTCCGCTCCTGGAATAAAACCCAAAACCTCCATGGCCTGAAACAGGTGTGAATTCTGACATGACAGCAAAAGCAAATAAGTCAGCAGTGACCTGATCTAACAGAACAAGTAGAAGATTAAATGAAACTCTCTCGGTAATAATTACTCAGCTGGATGTTGTGTAAAAACAGTTTAGTATCTCACTCTATCCCATGAGGCTCAAATGTTCAGTGCCTGAATACATGTAGGGCCCACTGCCCACCTTGTTAAGCTACACTTTTCTAAGACCAGTTGCTGTTAATTTCCTGTGCTGAAGCCCTTCTTACTCAGATAACAGCAACAGCTGCCATTACAGAGATGCTTTGCACAAGCCAGGTGATTCCTCTTGTCCTCACAAGACACCTCCGGCAGAGGACATGTGAGTGGTGACCAACATTAACCACCCAGCACCCACTTACTTGTATTTAGTTGCCTGGGTTGCTACTGTGACTGAGAAGCCAAGAATGCCAGAAGTATTCCTGCAGGTAGGGTACACATGGTAGCTAAAAAATAAATGGGAGGGGGGAAACAATAAAGTCATTCCACCAGCACAATTAAATTTTCATTTACAGGACATGCTAGAAGTTTAAAAAAGTGTTGGTACTTTAGAAAGAAAAAAATCTCAGGTAAAAATTCTCAATAGACCATTTCAGTGTTTTCTTATTTTTAGGAAATCCTTTTAAGCTTGGCAAAGTATCTGCTTTTGTGTTCCGCACACCAATTGATGAGGGTGACAGAGCTATAGCTGTGACAAGCTTGTTCCAGTTTCCTGAGGTAGAAGGTATCTCTGAGGGAGGCTCCTACACACGACACAGCTGCTGTGAAAACAGCCCTGGGCAACATGGAGCTGCTGGATAACTTGTGTTACACACTGGTAACAGATGCAATTCTTACAGGACTTAAAAGCAATGTGGCTGCAGCTTGCATTGGTGGCTGCTCTTAGTTTTGATGTTGCTGTTTCCATTGCAATAATTTAGGAATTAGTCACTGTGCTAGTAGGGTTTTCAGAGTAAAAATACTAGGGGGCAGCAAAAGCAGGTGTGTAGAAGCTGTCCTCTACAGCCAACTCACCCGAGGGTCTGCTTGGTCCTCAGGAAGTCAAAGCAGGGCTCCTCCATGTGCATCTGAAATGGAGCAGAAACGTGTTGCAGCAGGAGTGACGCTCCCCTGCAGCCACCCCCGGGGCTGAGCAGAGCTGTCACCACAGGGTGGGACACAGCTGAGGTGCTGCTGCTCCAGCTGCACCTGCTGGGCTAACAGAGGTCTCAGCCTTCCATACTGAGCACTACAGCAGCTCAGGGATCCTGTCCCAAACACTGCCACATTTAATCAGCAGTAATTCTGTGCTGTCCCCTTTGTACCTTCTAGCCCCGTGGCCTTATCTTAGCTCTGAGCAGTCTTTTCAGGGAAGACATGCTGGGATGAGTTGGGAGACACAAATACTAACTTACCACAAGCAGCTCCATCATGGTATATTCCCTTAGGTTCCTGGCACCTGACTAGAAAGAAAATGAAGAATTTAGGGTGATTTAGTGGCATTAAATGCTGTACTTCAGACCAAGGTGACAGCTGTGGCAGATGCCACAGCTGGGGCTGCAGCACTAAATTAAAATTCACAGCAGGGACAGCTGGGAAGTTCTCGTTTTCCACAGGGGCCTCAGCCCAGGACTGTGAGATGAGTTGTGAGGGCACCAGGAGACGACCAAGACACAAACCCAGCACCAGCACAAGCTGGGAGAGGAAGATACTGTTTCCAGGGAGCTCCACAGGCTGTGAGAGCCCACCTGGGCTCAGCCCCTTGTGCCCAGGGTGTGTTCCTCACAACTGCTCCCAGAGGGAATGGACCAGCAGCCCCAAGCTCACACCTTACCTGGTAATACACTGTCACTTCTGAGTTGGCGTCACCTTTGTTGAGAGTTTTCACCTTACAGAGCAGGTGGGTATTTGGTAAATCCACCACCCGGAACTGGACGGGGCAGGGATGGGCCAGGGGAGCAAACGGGAGCTTTCTGGAGGGAGCACAGACAGCAAAGCATCACACCCCTGCTCACATCTTATTTTCCCAGGCATTAACACCCTCAGTCTGACATGATATTCCCCTTCTCCAAACCAGAACCATGTCCTGCTTGAACAGCCACCTCCTGCCAACACCAGCAGCACTATATCCAGGAGGGAAGAAGGGAATTTCTGCATCACTCCCACCTTGACCCCTTCCTCTAGAGAAGAATCTTAACTTCATATAGTTTCCACATGATGAGTGGTGCAAGAATCAAGAGATACTCACTGAACAACATAATTCAGGAAATCCTTTGCTTCCTAGAAGAGAAAGCATAAATTTTTATTTAGCAGAGAATTATTACCCCAATTCACAGCCACACAGCAGGGCACTGCTGGAGAAAGTGACCCGCAGAGCAAGAACAGCCAAGCTCTGCCCTGCCACCTGCATCCCTGTCCCCTGCACCCCTGTTCCCGCCGCCTTATCCCAAGTCCCTCCAGACATCTCCGGACCACCCTGCAAAGGAAAAAAGAGTCTCCAGGCAGCTTCCTGCACTGTAACTGCTCCAGAAGGAGAAGCCAGCGAAGCAAAGGGTGGACACAGGAGATAAGGCCTTGCTCCTGTGCCTGAAGTTGGAGCTCTGGGAAGGAGACTCTTCAACTCTTTAAGTGGAAGAAATGTAAGGAGGTAAGAGAACGAGTCAACCTGATGTAGGAGTTAGAGGGTTGCATGTGCCACACTATGAAAGCAGCTCAGCTCACACAGAGGCTGCAGCAATAAAAACATTCTGAATAAGGGTTGTCAACAAATCATTATTAGATTCTCAGACCTCCTGTCCCACAGCTCAGGAGGGAAGAGGTGACATTACGAGAATCTGACCTCCCAAAGGACACTGGCAAATCTGACCTCCCAAAGGACAATGTTTTCTTTAGGAGGCTTTAAAGAGTCTGAGGACAAACATCACCAGCTAAGACAAAATTCTTGGCACAAATCCTCCTCTAACTGTAGGTTTCTCTCCCATGGCACACGCAGGCACTCAGTGAGCTGGACACATGGAGCTAAGCCCCTTCACAACCCCATTTTAAAAAGCCTGCCAAGACTATGTGTGACTTACTCCCTGAGTAGAAGACTCTGATGAATACTGCAGGTGTTTAACAAGACTGGAGATGACTGGACCTCAGTGAGGCTTGATCAAACCATGCAGGCAATTAGATTTCCAAGATAAATGTACTTTGAGGGAAGTTCTCTCCTGTGGCACCACCACAGCAATTCCTCAATCTCAAATGTATCAATACAGCAAATAAAAACCAGGGGCAACAAACAGGCTACAGGCACATTTCCAACTCATTTTCCCCTCTCTGCAATTTAACCCCAAATTTCTGAAAAAAAACCCAACAACCCTCAAATTCAAGTTGATAACTATGGACACCCCAGTGGCTCCTCCAGACACACCCTCCTCAGTTGGAGGTGGTGCTGCCCTGCAGCAGCAGCTCCCAGGCTGCCAGGACAGGAGAGGCAGCTCCAGGGGAGGGCTGCAGTTGGGCAACAATGTTAGAGCAGATTTTAACAACAAGTATCAGTGTGTGTCGGGGGCTGAAGCTCCACTTACTCTGCTGGTGAAGTTTCCTTGTACCAGACCCTCTACAAAGAGCTGTGACTTGAAAGCCTGAACGAAGGACGAGAGTGCCTCAATGGAAAGGCCCTTCATCAGCGTCTGGTATTTGTCTATCATGGACCACCTGCCATGTTCTAGAATCAGGAGACGCACATCCCTGCAAGGCAAGAAGGAAAACAAAGCCACAGGCTGTTTCATCTAAGAGATCCCACTTCTGACTCAGGATCGTACTGCAGACAGGGAGATGGTCTCCAGGAGCATTGCTGTGGGTTGATCCTGCCCTCCCTCAGCACCTGCTGATGGCTGCAGGTCTCTTCATAACAGCAGCTACCTGGATGTCTGAGGTGACCCCCATGTTTGGTTTGCTGGCTGCAGAGCTGCTTCAGCTCTCTAAGCCACAAGCAGACCCTGGAACAAGCCTCTGTGAGCAGGGCAGCAATTCCTGAGCTCTCCAGCTCAACCCCCACACTTGCAGGGCAGCCACTTTTTGCCCTCCCCCAGAACTCACTTGGCCAGTGTCTCAGGCTTGATGAGGATGTTGAAGTATGTTTTCTTCAGCTGCTCTGTAATCATCTCAAAAACTGCTGGAGTAAAGCTGAAGTCAGACAAGTAATCAATGATGAGCTGAAATAGAAGCTGTAAAGAAAACAGTTTTAAGTAAATTTTTTTAAAGACCCAATGTAAACTTAATCCTACATAATAATAATATTTAAAATTAAAACAATAACTTAAAAGCAATTTTAAAATTCAGCACGATAACAGTAAAGCACATTCCTCAGTTCTGTTAGATGTTCTTCACTAAACAACTCCACCCCAAATCACAGTTTCAAAAGGAGAGCATTTCTAGAAAATGAACAAAATAAGCTCAGTGTCCTCCATCAACAGGAGTTTCCACACCTGGATGATACAAGCCCAGCCTGTAACCCCAAGATTTCTGTGTGAGATATTCCAGTTTTTCCCGTTTCAGCTGACCAGCACAGTGACACTACAGCAGTACTTACAGGTAGTTTATGATTGAATCCTTTCACTCGAATGATCAAGCCGTGCTCTCCAGCTACCAGCTTGTACTCCAGCTGAGCAACGTCTGCTTCGTAAGCAGGTTCACCGAGGTTGTGGGAAAGGATGTTTACAAATGTATCAAATAAAACGATGCTGGATGGAGAAAAGGGCAGAGGGTTAAAAAGAATGAAAAAAAAATAAAAAAGGAAGGAGCAGAAGAAAAATAAAAGCAAGCCCAATGGATTTGATGGCACACATAAGTTCTCCAACAGCAATGAATACTCGAGTAAAATGAGATTAAAAAATACACTGTCAGCAAACCTGTAAATATAGAATGCAAGTTTCCCTTGGTCTAGAGAGCACACAACACTACTTAGCAATTATTTTAACATTCAGCTGCTCTTTGCAATGAGTAAGATTCCAGCTCACACAGCTCTGTCACTGTCTGCTGCTGATCCACTCTCCCCAGACCACAGATAAAACCAGGTGGGATGTGTAAGAACACGAGAAGGAAGCCTCATTCTAGCCCAGTTTAAAATTAACCTCCCCTCATCATTTTCCACTGGGTATGGGAATTCAGTTACTCTGCAAAATAAGTACAAATCAAATAATCCTTACTTCTCAGCAGACTGCTGAATCAATGGAGAGATCAGATGGAAACGAATATAACCTGGGGGGAAAGAGAAACTTAAATCACCAATTGTATAAGAAGTGGCAGCTTTCTGAAGTCAAAGATATTTCCACTGGGTTACTCTTTGGTCACATTTTGAGTCTAATGAATATGGTGATTTATCTATAAGAATATATTTTTGCTTGTATTAAGTCATCAAATGTCTTCTCTTTTTCACTCCACAAATTTCCCTTAAAAATAGCAAATAAGGGAAAAGACAAAGCTGTACTTTGCAGAATACTAACTCACATGATGTAACCACTGTAAATAAAAAAGAAAACTCCATAAAACATCTGTTTAACAGACATTAAAAACTGTGACATTCTGATTGAAAGCAGAAATCTATTTTCCCTCACAGTCTCAGATGTATCTTCCTCTTTCTGCAGAGCAGACTTTCAAGTCTTTTCTTATTCCTGTTCCCTCATGTTCAAGCCCTTGTCTCAGTATCACATTGTGGCTGCCAAATTGTGTCCACAGTCAGACTTTCAGAATCAGTGTATCTCACTGATTCCACTCAACCTGAGGTACCAGCAGTGTTCCTTTGCTGCAAGGTGTTTTACCTGCTTCTCTTTCACTGTAGATAATAAACACATCAAAAGCACCACAGAAGAGCTGGCAGTAAATGCTGAGTTTAAATGGTGAACACAATCATAGGTTATTTGCCTTCAAATACATCACAGCTGCTAAAAACAGGGACTTCCTATTCTTCAGGCATTTACCTTTTGGGATTTTGAATTTATCATCCTTCCTGTACCAGAGGCAGCCTTGTTGTGTGCTTAGAGTTTTGACTGGATATTCTGTCTCTGGGCAGTCAGCAACTTTCAAAGCGAAGTCCGTGGCTAACAAGAAAAGCCAAACCAAAACCAGAAGTTAGTGGATGACACAGCCAGACTGCATGCATGGAAATCTTCAAAATTATCAACAGAACACATTTCCCCCTCCCAGTTTGCTAACCTACATGTGATAATGCTTTCCTGGATCCAAATTACATTTGTTTTTCAGCTCCACACCAGGATAGTGGCTCAGGAGAGGTGCGGAAATAATGAAGTTACATTCCATTTTCATTTGTTTTTTTGCAACTAAGCCAGGTATTTAGATGTTTTCAAAACCAGCAGGACCAAGTAAACAAAACTGCTCTTCTAGAGTGTCTGGAGATCTGTGTTGATGGTGTAAAGCCTTCTTTGTTATGGCTCTGTAAGATCATACATGGCTATATGATCTTAGTTCTTCTAAATTAAATTAAACTTCAGGTGAGCAGAGCTCCCGTATTTTTTAATTTTAGAAAAACAGGTTGGTGTGCAGATGAAAATTAAGACTGTTTCTAAACCACAGAAAATTCTCAAATAAATTATTAGG